AAATTATTATTATTATTATTATTTCTTTTCAGATAAATACGGATTGTAGCTCGCCCATCTGGCGTACTTACTCGGTAGATTTTAAAAATTATTTTCTGTTTTTCTTTGAACTATTGACGCAATAACTGATTTCATTCATATAAAATATTTTGTTTTGCATGATATTTAATATACTCAAGGGATAGGCCTGTAATGTCTTTCCCAAAGTTGTGTCTTTTATAGACATAGGTACAGTAAAATATTTTACGGGTTCACACGACTGACATTTTATGAAACGTTTGGAAAAGTTTCTGTGTGCTGCCCTACTGTGTTATCCAAAGAACAACAGTTGCAGTAGTTGATGATAATGTGTGTACAGCCCCAAATAATTGGAGACAAGGATATTTTGGAGTTTGTTCAAAGCTAAAAAAATATCATTGATGCAGATTCCGACAAAGAAAACGAAATGAATAATGCAGTTCTTGTGGATGATTTTGTTTCATTGATTTTTTATTAAATACATGCCTATATGCATATCTGTGCAAATAAAATGTACTCTAATAAACTTAATTTTGTTGAAAATATGTTTTTTTTTTTTTTTTTTTTTTTTTTCAATATCCTTTAACACGAAAAAATTCTTCAGTCCCTTCGGTTTCGTGTTAATAATAATGAAAGTGAGAAAAACAATTTTAATCATAGATTTAAAATTATTTTTCTGTTTTTGATTTAAATACAAAATATTTCCACAAATTTCACACAGAAACTATTTTAGACACCAGCAAAGAATTGAGTGGGTGCAGCCCACCCATCTGCAATACTTACTCGGTAGATTTTAAAAATTATTTTCTGTTATTTATTTATTTTGAATGCGATAAAAACAGGCGACTAACTAATTTGGTTTATATGTATGTACATATATATTTTCAAATGTATATACAGGGGATATTGGACACATACAACACTATTGACACAATATGAGCTATATCCACACAATGATGGAACAAGGTGTGCAGCAGATGCAAGACATGGGCATGATTCACATGATATTTGATATACTCGAGGGATAGGACTGTAATGAGCAAATGAGTTTGTTCCACAAAGTTGCGTCTTTTACAAACACCCAACATTCGAATCCCAGTGAATGGGGTGGCTGCATGGGTGTTTTTGTTATTTTCCCCATGCCACTTTCCTTTAAAAAGCCGACAAGAAGGCATCCCTCCCCTTAGGCAGATTGCACTCGAGTGCTTTGCCGTAGCTGAATACGCTACACCACTACATTACACACGGAAGTAAAAATGACACTTCCTGTGGTCGTTGCCTAATTATTCAAAATATTTTGATAATTGTTATCTGTTCTTAGAATTTCCATAGCATTGCACATATTATTATTTAACATTCTGTTATTTACCAGCAATTTTATAATCTGCAAGTTTTGGTTTTACAATTTTTGATTTTTTAAAATTAACACCTTCTTACACAATTTGCAAACGAGTTCAATAGCCAAACATTCCCTTTCATATTACATCTGAAGAACTGTTGTAGCATTATGCAACAAACATTTCGCTGTTCATTAAAATATAGGAACACTTTTCAATCAAATTTTGATTAGAATTTGATGTAGATTGAAAAGTTGTTTTCAACTCAGCTGCCTTTACACTCGCAGTTGTATTCACAATTGATTTTCACGCTGGACTTTTATCATTTGTCATATCCGCTAAATTTTTTTAAGTGTCAGCAATTTTTTCTGCGGTAACAGCATCTACAAATGACCATCTGCCATGAATATTCTTCACACATGCACGAGTTTTATTTTAGAACCGCTGATGCTTTGGGTTTATGATACTACTTGCTAATAGTATGCATTATGATAGCATAAGTAAAAAAAAAAAATTTACCAGTATAATCAAAATAGAACAAATTCACGACTAAAATATTATCAAGAGTCTTAGAAGACCCTTCGAAGAACATTTTTAGAAGGTAAACAAAGATAACTGACGAAAACTGATCAGCTCGAAAACCCACGCTTGAAAAATGTAAACAAACGCCGCCGAAAGCAGTTACAGTTACGACTAAGATCAAAGGTTTGCTCGCAGTTAAAAGTATTACTTCCGAGCATGAAAAAATTGTAACATAATGCTTTTAAATGTTTTCTACTATTTTAAAGGCATTTAAATGCCAGTATATATTTACTGTTATGAAACATAATTACAAAAGAGATGTTAAGTATAAAATATATAGACAGCAGTTGGAGTTTACCAAAAAGAATTTAAATAAAGGAATTTTAACAACGAGTATACTGTTGGAATATCACACCCGAAAATTTTCGCGATTACACTTCGTACAAGCAGCTGAGCGGTAAAATCGCTGAACACTGGTAGTTCGGTCCAACTTTCTAATCCCGGCGAGCGGGCTGGCTGCATGTGTGTTTTCGTGGTTTTCCGCATGCAGTATCTTCTGCATGCATACGTTAACAAAGCGGGCGCAGCAAATGTAAAATCGCTGTACACTGGTAGTTAGGTCCAACTTTCGAATACCACGAAGGCATCCATCCCCTGAAGTAATGGGCTTCAGCCCGCTCAGCTGGCGGGCTTGCCCGCTAGTATATTCATTATAAACACGGTAGTGTTGTACTATCTCCAACGATAGAGATTAGCAAAGAAATGTTTTTTTCGATCTATTTAAATTGACGATTGTATCTCGGATTTAACGGATGAATGGCAAAAAACATTTTTCTCCGGCGGAGTCCTGTATCGGAAATTCTAAGGATATGCTCGTTTTAAAACTATTTTGCGATATTGCTGTTGCACTGGATCTTATGCTGTTGCACTGGATTATTATCACTGGATTAAGTGCGAGGAACATGATATTTAATAAAGAAAGGTAACACACAAAATGTTAAAAAACGCCCCTTTGGACGTAATTTAAAATCTGAAACATTTCAGATTTTTTTTTATTTTTTATTTTTTAATTTTTTAAGTAATGAACGATGTTCTGTATATATTTATAGATGAATGATGTCTTATTACGAAGCTATGTATGTATTAATGTTTCATTAAATTCGTCTTGTTTCAAGATGAGTTGTGATTTGGCCAAGACACACCCCATTTATATCTATATATATATATATATATATATTAGTATTTAATTCTGGAATTAAATATTTTAATACTTAATAATGAATATTTAGTTTTTAGGGGAGCATTCATGCGTGGTGTTTGAATTAATACCAAAATTTTATACATGTATGGGATTTCATTTTTCATGACCGTCAGATGGCACTGGACATTATTAGATGAAACTGTTTCGTGGAAAACGATGAGACGGTGCTGCCATTTAAATGAAAGACGTGTCTAAGACGGAGTTCTAAGATGTAAAAGACATCAAACTTCTCTACATCTGCATATATAATTTTGATTTCTTTTATCTACACTTCTAAGTTAATCGTTGATAACCTAATAGGGTATTTCTCCCTCCTTCTTAGCATTCCTTTATGGTGAAGTCATCAGCACGTTCGGAGCGTATTCGAGAGGTCCGTGGTTCAAGCCGCGGCGAAGTCATTGATCATTTCTTCAGTTTCTGACAACGAAACAATTCTAAATGACTCCACAGTGGCACCTGAACTAAAAACATTGGTGGATGATGATTTTACACCAACAGTATGTGGCGACTGTGTTCCCTAATCCCCAGTCGCCCTTTAAGTATGCTAAGAATATATAATGTATTTCTCCCGCCTTCTTAGCATGCCTTCGTGGTGTAGTGGACAGCCCGCTCGGCGCGTGTTCAAGGGATCCGTGGTTCGAGTCCCCGCGAAGGCATTGCTCAATTTTCATCTCTTCTGCTTTCGAAAAATATTTAATCTCTAAAACCTTTATAATATGTATTAGTTAAACAGTCACTTTACGGCATGTGTTCTACCTGTGGACAAACACGAGCTTTTAGCCATTTTATGACGTTAAGTTCTACACGGACGGAATATGCGTGTGGATAACTTTGTACATGATTTGAAGGTATGAAGATAGTGCAGATACATTAGATAACAACGGAGAACAAAAAACTTGCAGAGCAACTAACAAGATAAAATTTTATTTGTTGAAGACCAATTCTGAGGATTTCAGTAAAGAGTATTTATAGAGATAGATAGGTTGTTTAAATTTTGAAAAGTTATTAGAGAACAGCTAACGGTATTACCGTGAATAAAACGACATATTGCAGATTACGTTTTATGTGATGTAGATTGAATTTCAGGAAGGTGACGTGGTCAAAACAAAATTGGGAACTATAAGGTATATCGCTAAATTAAAGTTAATATTTTTCTTTCATATCCTCCCCTTCATACAGATAAAGGCTTTGGCAATCGGAATGCCTTTTTAGGAATAAAAGCATTATATCATTAACAAATGTAAATAAATCTTTTACAATATATAGAATATGCATTTATACAGTGATAAAAAAAATATTTTCTTCAAGGGCATAAGCCTTTACTTTCCCTTATGCCCCGACACTTTGTTCATGAACTTTCTGATACCTTAAGTATGAAAACCTGTTCATAAGAATGTAATTTGGAAACATTAAAAAATATTATGTAATCTAAGTTAAATGTACAGTCCAGTTTTTAAAAGTCTGTAATTTCCTTTTCGCTAAATGTACAAGTTTTTTAAAGTTCTTGAAATGCTCTTTCCAACCATTACGAAGATTGTTCTAAATTCAGAGTCCTAACGTTTCGACGAATTAATTTAATTAACTAACGTTTCGAATAATTAAAAAAATTCAGAGTTCTTGAAAATCATTGCTCGAATATCACAATGTAAATTTTATACTTCTTTTCTTGAAAGTCTTTTATAAAAACAATATAAAAATATATAATATACAATATAAAAACAAAATATTTTAATTACATGTACATGAAATGCTATTAAAATTAATTATTTACTCATTATAAAACAAAGCACATTTTCATACTCTGTAAAATAATGCAAAATATATTTTAGAAATTAATATAAGTAAACTAAAACAGTACAATATCAAAGAACAGTTTGGTGAAAAATGGGCAGGTCCTCAAGATGAGAATCAGCAGAACTACTGTTGATGTCTGTGGGATTTTTAAATACAATAGCACATAAAAACCTCCATTCTTCATACAAAGCAACTGGGTTTTAGCATTTTATAAATATATGTCCTTAAATGGTGTGAAAGCATTTTAGGTAACTGGAATTTAACATTGCATAAATATATGAAAGTTATTAAATAAAAGTATGGCCATATAAAAATTCAAATTATATAATTGAAATAAAAGCATAAATATATGAAAATTCTAATTCAAATTAAGACAAATAACTCATATACTAAAGTTAAATAACTTGTATACTAAAACTAAATAACTCGTATACTAAAAGTAAATAACTCGTACTAAAACTAAATAACTCGAAAACTTAAAAATAACTCGTATACTAAAGTTTGGTCTTAGAAATTTAGTAAATAAAATTTTACATTAACCCACAGCAATCATACAGAACATTTTAAATGTGTGTAGTGTGTTTACTACTGAAAACACACAGCGAGTTCATAGCTATAGTTGACTCTCCTAACAAATTAATTTTAATATTAGAAGTATACCTAGGGGGAGAGCAAGTGGGTGCTATCACTGCTTGTACCCCTCCCAGAGATAATGCGAGGAGTCATACATATAGTATGATTCTCGCGTCGGAGTACAGCAAGATATACTTTTGCCTTGAGAAGCTGGTATCTTGGCAGGTTGCAAAATATATTTCAGAGATTTTATTCCTCATTTTCGAGCTTTGGAATACGTACATAACAAGTTTTAAACAAGAAAATTCTGAGAAGGAAAGGGGTAAGTTAAGTAAGAAGCCCGATTGAGAAAAAGTGAAATTCGGGAGTAATTTGTCATGATTAGGTTTAGAGACTTTATCAAAATAAAAAGTCATATCCGAGTTACAAATATTTATTAAAGGTGTGAAGACATTTTAATAAATAATATAGAAAATACGAATTAATTACTTTTGATAGCAAATAGTATTTTACTATTTCTTACAGTTAACGTAAATTCAGTTACTGGAATAGCAGAGCTGAAAATTTCTGAATAGGTATTTAAGATACTCTATGAATGATTTTGATATAAAATATAAGAAAGGTTTCACCAGTGTTCTAGATAATATATTAACTAGGTATCCTACTTGTCAACATTTGTGAAACATGTTTATCCTTGCATCATTAAGGAAGGGCAAGCAGCCAGATTAAAATGAGGAATTAAAAAGAATATTACTAAATTAAAGTTGCTGATTTTCTTTCATATTTTATATATTACATATATGCATATTTAATGAAAAGTTTAATTGAAAAATGTGTTGCAGTTTTACTTTTTGGTTTCCAAATTAAACCTAGCCCACCAGCGGCCGAGTGGTAAAGTCGCTAAACACTGGTAGTTCGGTCCGAGTTTTGAATCCTGCGAACAGGCTGGATGCATGGGAGTTTTCGTGGTTTTTCCCAAGTGTAACGTGTATACGAGACAGTTTCCTTCGAAAGTCCTCCACGAAGGCACCGCTCCTCTTTGGCAGATAGCTTTAGCGTGATTTGTCATAATTAAATACAACACACACACCAAATTAAACCTAAGAATTTAATTTAACTCATATTAATGCAGAGTACAATGTGCGATCAAAAATATGCATCATTTTTATAATAAATATGAAGTATACGTATTAAAAATTTAAACAGGAAACTATGGCACATGGATTCATAATACTCTATGGATGATTTTAAATTTATATTATTTATATTAAAATGCGTGGCGTTTGGATTAACAATTATTATGTAGGGTTTATATTTATTTTAACTAACATTTATTTTAAGTTTAAACTATCTTTCCTGTCAAGCCTTACTTTCCCCTGGAATTGCCAATGCCAGAGTATGTAAATTTTAGTAGAACGCGCAAGGATTCAAATTATCAGCGGAAGTATTCTGAGTTAAATAGAAAGGAAACGAGTTCGAAAGGGTGCTTTCTTGCTTCACGAGTGTGGAGGTGGCTAGTTAGAAATTGAAGAACCACGCGTTTCGGCCTGTGTGCTTGCCTCGGCAAATTGGTAATCTTTCAACGTAATATTCAGAGTTTGCTGAATTATCAGCGGTATTTTAGAACACGGTGAGGTTAGTTACGTTTAGAGAGCCTCGTAGTTAGTCACTTGTTATTATCTCTTTTCAGTTTCTTATTTTTATTTTACCGCAGGGTCGGCGTAGTTTGTGAGCGTCAAGAGCACGCATTTGTAATTTCTAAAGTTGAATAAAAAGGGACTTAAACCCTTCTCAAGACTCTTTCTAATTTCCAGTTTTCAGCAGTCACCACTTTGTTGCGTGCAGGTTGGAAGCGCGCAACTTTACAATTAAACAGTCACTCTACTAAGTAAACTCATACATTATAGCACCTAGATACTAAAAATAGTTTGCAGAACGTATGATATACTTTTGTATTATTTCGGGTTGCGGCAATCCCATAACTTATCAAATATATATCACAAACATCAATATATAGCAACTATCATATTTCTCAATACATGGGAAATTACAAAATATAAACATTATATATATATATAAGAATATAAGAATTAATAATTCTAAAAAATCACTGTTACATCATTATTAATACAAAATCAATTTTACTTTTTGCCATTATTCTTATTATGATCAGGATGATAATAATTTAAAAGATTCAATATGAAAGTAAAGTTGTGGGAAACTATTCACTAAAAAGGAAAATAAATTAGCGGAGGAAGTAAGGAACTATGGCTCTCTAGATACAAACACCTACACTTTACGCTACACTGAATATATCTATAATAAACCAAAAACCAATTTCATGATTTAACTTCAGAAACTTTTTTTAGCAATTTGTTTTAGGAATAAATGCATTTAGACTAAAAGCTGTTTTATTTTAGTACGCAGAAACTATTTGCTTTTTTTTTTTTTCCATAACGTTCCTCGTACTTTCAGGGAATTTCTGAAATAACATTCTTTCTATAAAACTCCAAACATTATGTGACGTTGCAAGGGAGGAGGGAGAGGTGATTGAATAGCTGTATAAATGAAATTACAGAATAAATCAAAAATAGCAACATCAAATTACCTTTGCCGAATTTCCACCTGACCACCGGCCTCGGCTGACCCTCCGCTTGACAATCGAAGGTTACCGACATTCCTTCTAAAGCTGATTGATCGCTTGGTTTAATCACCCATACCGGAGGTGCTGAAGTGAAAAGTAAAAAAAAAAAGACATAAAATTAGAAGAAAAAAGTGAGCATGACCCACGTGTGGAAAAAAAAGATTCACGATTTAATCGAAGCATTTCTTCATGAATATTAATGCAATTTTTAACGCCGTTAATGGACTGTTAACTGAAAGTTGCTAATGGAAGTGCATTTGCCTTCTCTGCAGCGATTTATATATGAGCTCTGAGACGCATTTCCGAGCACTTCTGAGGCATTAAATCCGTCAGATCATATTAATCATGGTTTAAAAACACGTAATGAATGCTGAAATTATTGAATGTAAAATCAATTTCAGTTATTCATTTGGAAAAAAGGAAAAATATATGCACGTTTTTGTTTAATTTATTCGTGAAGCATGCACTGATAACTCTGTGAAGTAAAGGAAACATAACAGGGCCAGAACACATTAAGTATGGTTAAGCTGAAGAAACCTCCGCAACAAATATGCGGAAAAATAAATATATATTAATTTCTTCTTCAATTGTATGTGTTATATGGAATATACAATGATCCTGTATGTTTCCTAAAAAATACTGAAATGTACTGAAAATAATTTATTTTTCTAAAAGGCAAATCGTCAGGAAAATCATTTGGTAACTAGGTATATATTTAATGTTAAAATTAATTTTATTGTTAAACATTAAATCTTTTGTGTGTTAAAAGAAGTGTTTGGTAGATAACGAAAATAACAATATTTGCAACATGCACTGTGTTTCAGCAAATCGGTTACAAACTCTCAGGCAGAGATAAAGTACACCTAGAAGATGGAAGAAATGATATTAATCCTTTCCTGGTGCGCTAGTGACAACAAAAACCGTAGGAAAGGAAGAACACGAATAGAGTGATAATATATGTTTATTATGCTTAGTACAGCGGAAAGCGAGAAATAAGAACAAAAACAGAGGATCGTAATGAAAGAAGGTGTTCAAAATTGCGTCTGAGACTTATCCTCAACGTGGAATGTGAAGGGCTGATCCGGTGCGTTGGCCAACAAGATTTCCAGGCCTCACTTGCATTGACTAGTTTCTCTGGGGCTACGTCAAGATATTGGTGCACAAATTCCTCGTCAGAAGAACCAAAGAAATTGTTGCACGTATCGTGACAGCTGCTGATGAAGTCCAGCATATGTTTGAATTTTCCAGAATATTAGATCTTCCATGCGACGGCAATGTGAGGCCTGCAACAGGGTTCGTGGCCGCAATTTCAAACAATCTTCCTTTCAAACAATCCTATGATAACCGTTGTCTATTTTTGTTTTTATTTCTGGATTTCTCCTGTATTAAACATAATAACCATGTTTCCTCACACTATTTATGTTCTTCCTTTCTTGTGCTTTGTGTTGTCATTACCGTGCCAATAAAGCCTTTTCGACCATGCATTGCTATGTGATTTTCCATCGTCTAGGTGTACTCTATCTCTCCTGAAAGTTTGTTGCCGATTTGCTGAAACACCCAGTTTATATATGTAAAATCATTTTTACTTTGTAAAATGCTAAATTATTAATAGTGTAAAATACTAATTTACTAATACTGTAAAATACTAAATTGTTAATAGTGTAAAATGCTAATTTACAATTATTGTAAAACACTAATTTATAAACACTGCAAATTTACAAAATCATCGGTTCTCTGCGCATAATACTATACGAAGGATATAAAATTTTAGTGTCCTTAGAACCTTGGCTGAAAATGTCAATTTTATCTACAGGAAACTGAACAGTGTTCTTCAGCATAAAAGAAGAGAAAGCAGAAGTATATTTCATCATTAATAAAAGATGTGCCCCATTGACCACAAATCTATGATTTGCCAATTATATTGAACAAATAATATCGTTCTAAATCATAACAATATCGAACCAGAATATAGTCATTTCTTGGAATGAATTATTATTGTAAACATTCGAAACGCACTGCTTAAGAAAGAAACTACATTGGAGACCAGATTGTTTGAAATTCCTAGCACGACTTACGTGCGATGCTGCATACCGACGAAATGCATCATTAGTGATAGGTTGCAGTATCCTCGCAGGCCACATATTTGTTGCCAAAAGGGTGTTTGCATTACTCGGACGCAGTTGAAGCCACAGTGACCTTTAATGAGATGGTTGTAGAAACGGTTTGCGATGACGATGATCACAGATGTTGCATATATTATAACTTGCAAGAAGCATTAGAATAATAGCACAATATGCTATTTCTAAAAGCTGAGTTTTTAGGTACTTTCTTTTACAAAAAGTCTTTTTATCAAGAAATAGTTTTCTCTCCCTTACACAGAGGAATAAATTTAAGATAAGTATCTCATTTTCAATCATGAATAATTCATTGGAATGAATTAGGACACCCTAAGCTAATATCAGCTGATTTAAATGTATATATTAAGCTGAGAAATACATAAACTCATTATAAATAAAACTTAGCTGCAGTGTTCGGTTACTGCATGCAGCCGTTATTAAACTAAATTGTGCACTAACAACGGGAGGTTATTCCTTTTGTTTTTGTAATGTAAAAGTAATAAATGATATGAAATATTTTTCATTATAAAACTAAATATTATTAAGTGAAATTTTTCAAGTAATATTTTATATGCACGAGAATACTTCTAACTTTGGCTTTTGATGTACACTGTGAGATGAATAATCATAGTTACTATAAAGAAAAATACTGTGTACTCACAAATTTAGGTGAATGAAATGGATGATTTAAAAAAATTCGTTTTACATAATTCTTCTTCTTAATCAATTATGTTGTAGATTGAAAAATTAGCAGCGCCTTCGCCGGGAAACGAACCACGGACCTCTGGAATACCAGCCCAACATGCAGAACCACTACATTACGAAGGCACGCTAGGAAAGTGGGAGAAATACCTTATATACTCCCCTTTTTAAAGGGAAGACTGGGGTTTTTAGCGGACACAATCGCCAAATCCTGGGTGTAGAGAGACCTCATCCAACACTCTTTTAGTTCGGGCGTCACTGTAGAGACATTAGGATTTATTTGAAAGCAAGAGAGATTAGCCGGGAATCGAAACACGGGCCTCTGGAATACCGGCCCAGCATGCAGAACCACTACACCACGAAGGCACGCTAGGAAAGTGGGAGAAATACCTAATAATGTAAAACGAAATTTTACGAATTAAATAAGTTATGTAAAACTGGAAATCCAGAGAGGCGATATAGAGCGGCAAGTCTCAACTTGAAAAGGAAATTGTTCTCAGAAAACTATAACAGCTGTTCCATAAGCCTGCACCCTATAAAGGTTCTAGGGCATGTCTATATCTCTGGCAATGAGTAGACCGATTACCTCGTCAAAGAAGCCCGAAATGGTACTGAATTTTCCAAAAGTTTAACCCTTACCGATGCAGAGGCAAAAGCCAGCCGAGTTAGGAAAAATTCTATTCTTAAGCTAAACTGCAAACAAACTATTTGCTTTACCCTAGCCAGACTGAGAACAAAACACTTTAAATGAATGTAAAAATTCCCTGATGGTCGCTGAAGTTATAACTGCTGCCCTCATTGCCTTTGGCGCACAGCGAAATTCCCTGATGGTCGCCGAAGTTATAACTGCTGCCCTCATTGCCCTTGGCACACAAGTTTCTCCAGCACACATCATTGACTTTCCTGCCATACTGGACAGGCTCTTCAGGATTGATTTTTCTCCACCTACTGGAGTGCCAGCTTCTACGTGCTTCGAGGATCATCGACATCGCTAGCGCTACTTTAGATACTTTTGGTCCTATTTGGTCTTTCTGCACCATTTGGACAAGGCAACAAAAAAACGGAAAATAATTAATTTTCTTACTGTTGAAAAACAATGCACTCCAAGATTTTAGAATCACTTATTTACGGAAACAAATATCATTATACGCACATAGTACAAGGTAACCTGCACTCATTGTGAACGGGGAATCTGCCGCTACAGCCCTTTCCCAAAACAACCATGCCGATTTTATTCCCATTTTAGCCCGAACTGGAAATAGCTTTTGGAGATTAATCCCATATTAGCATCCGTTTTTCGTTCCTCTATATACGTAAAGGTGGTTGATTTTACGACTCGTCACCTTCCATTCGAGCTGCTCGGAGAGGAAAGGAGTTAGTACACGGACTGCCGCACTGAAGGGCCCGAATTCGAATCCCGGGGAAGGCAAGGCATGGATGTAAATTGTCTGTTCTTTCAAAGGCGGCAACGGTGGTTCACCTATTAAGAGCCTCCATAATAAAGTGACCACCGCCTCCGGCCTTAGTAGCGGCCAACGCTTGTAATGGCCAGTGCTCGCGAGTGGACGGGGGAGGGGAACTTCCGTGCTTTGTAAATAAATAATCACGTGGATCACTCTACCTGTCTTCACATTTGCCCTTTCTTAATGTACCCTTTCCAGGAGCAATTATTTTTTCTTTTGCTTCTTTGTAGCACCGCACTTTACAGGTTACTTTAAGACTTAAGATTTAATAGCCGTTCTTACGATATATAAAGAAATCTTGACTCATATTTTAAATAAAGGTTTAGATTTTCTTACTGGTGTACCGAAATTTTAATCAACATTATCATCAGTATAGTATAGAAATGGCCATAATATAAGTTACTGCAAGCCAGAGTAGATAGAAAAGAAAAAAAATCCAAAAAATATTCTTAAAAATTACACGTTATTTTTAAAACGTTCAGTTTGCTAATAGTTCTGTAATGTCTTGAAAAATAAATTACAAAACCTATTCCGCATACAATATCAATATCAGGCATAGTTTGACGACCTATAGAATTAATGCATGTTTTGCTGAACAAATAATTTTCCTATGCTTTTTCGTTTTGTTATTATTTTTAATTTAATCTTAAAATAACCGTACTTAAACTAACAGTTCATAGAGAACTGAATGAGAATGGCTATTAGATTAAACTAAGCTCTTAATGTTCTTAAAGTAGATCTCACTTGTAAAATTTTCCATTGTTGTATTTAGTACGTTGTAAATAGAATTTTTTCAATGTAA